TAATTTCTTGGGCTGAAAATGCTGTGTAAGTGTAAAGAGCTAATCCAAGTTTACAGAATTAATATTTGACAGTAACATTAGTTGGAGTTACATCTGCCTTGGAATATTTCTAATGCACAGTTAGCTTTTTTAACCTCAAAGACAAGTTTTAACTGCAACATACTTTTTCATGTTATCTGGCTCTATTTACTACATTTGTAACTGTGTTCCAAGTATATCTTCAGAGATATCATAAGCCTTTCTGGTGTGTTCTAATTGAATCTCTTAACAGTTATTGCAAAGCAATATTATGTTTTGATAGTCCCTGACATATTAGTTGGCAACAGCCCCCAAAACACTTCAGAGTGCATGGAAGAATTCACTTACTTTATAAAATGTTATTCATAGGTTTGGTGGGGGTGGAGAGGCAGAAAACGATATTAGATTTGCAGGTTCTAATTGTATGATAAGCAATTCTAGTCTATGAAAAAATAATGTGCTGAAGAAAAGTTTGAGTTTTTTAAAAGCAGAAGAATGTGCTCAAACCATGCTTAAAATTACCTTGACTTTTAAAAAACTTCTGGCTGTAGAACGTATCTGGAAAATGATCATCTTTTTCCAGTAGTCTTGGGATAAAAACTGCCACACAAGGCATACAATGGCCTCAGGCAGAAAGGATCCAAGTGGACTGATATACCTGGCCAGACCCATACATGTGGTCTAGTTGGAGCAACTCCTTTTAAAACTCAGATTGATCTTTCATATTTCATATCCACTACTTGGTATTTGACAGCTGGGAGACAACAAATTATCCCCCAAATACTGATGTATTCATGAGTGTTGGACTTTAGATCTGGGCTTATTCCTGCTGTACGTTTATCTTTATTTTATTTTAGCAAGATTAAATTGGGAATTCCTCAGCTTGCTAGGTCTTTATAGTTGCTTGTTATTAATCATTGGAGGATTTTAATATGTTGACGTAGCCCTTTATTTATAACACTGTTCTTTCAGTATAGACTTAGAACAATTCATGTATTAAAATACAGATAAATATTATTTTTAAAAACTCCTACTTATTCTTTCCGGTTTCAGCTTAAATATTTTGTCCTTCTGGGAGCCCTCCCTGCCCCCCTAAATTAGGTTAAATCTCCTTACCATGCAAATCTATACCTCCCTTATTATAATCTTCATCACATTTTATTGTAAATCCTTGTTTAATTGCCTGTGTTTTCTTCTAGTCTGTCTTCTAGCCTGTCATATTCACCTCTTTATCTCCAGACCCTCTCTCAGGTCCTAGCCCATAGTAGGTGATCAAGAGTTGTTTGTAAAACAAACGAAAGACGCTTCTGTTTTTAGTCACTGGCTATACTTAAATTTCCTTTAGTAAAATTTAGTTATATTCTATTTATTCCAGAAAAGGGTTTGAGATGACTTTGCAAACTCTACAGTGCCACACAATTGTTAGATATTCTTTTATCTATCTCCATCATCTTGTCCTTTCTTTCCTTTCTTCTTTCTCTTTCAATTTGTTGTTGTTAGGTATTGTCGAGTCATTTCGGACTCACAACGACCCTATATACAACAGGTGAAACACAACCTGGTCCTGCGCAATCCTTACAATCATTGTTTGAACCCATTGTTGCAGCCACTGTATCAATCCATCTCTTTGAAGGTCTTCCTCTTTATCAAAGACCCTCTAATTTACCAAGCATCTCCTTCAATAGCAAAGGGTATAGGTGAAAAAGAATTGACTTCACTCTTACTATCTATGTGGCCTTAAACAAGTTACTTAATCTTTCTCATCTAAAGTCTTTTAATACATAAAATTGGAATAAAAAAACCAAACCCACTGCCGTCAAGTAGATTCCAACTCTTGGCAACCCTATAGGATACAGTAGAACTGCCCCATAGGGTTTCCACAGAGTGGCTGGTGGATTCGAACTGCAAATCTTTTGGTTAAGCAGCTGAGCTTTTAACCACTATTTATATGATAGAGTTGGGGGTATTAAATGGAATAATGTATGTAAAGATCTTGTATGATAAGTACTCAATAAGTACTACTTCTCTTACTCCAGTCTGGGAAAAAATAGATTAAAAAGAAATCACATCCTAGACTCATCATTTCATCATTATATAATGGCTCATGGCCCAGAAAAATCTAGGTATGGCAGCTGCCAGGGTTAAGGACTTTCGCTGTTTGCTTAAAGAAGTCTACCAGATAATCTGCTCTGCTCTAATGGTAGGAAATTTGATGAGGACAGTTATCCACTAGCCCACAGTCAACCTCATTAGCAAAGAGCAACTCTGCTTCAGCATAAGTCTATCAAACACTAGGGTTGAAATATTACAGTGTGAGGATGAGTGTGGGTCCGACATCAAGCTGCTGAGCTTCAGTATGGTATTTAAACCTCTCTGCACTTTAATTTCTTCATCTGTAAAATGGAACTAATGACCACACCACCTCATGGGGCTATTGTGAGGATCAAATGAGTCATATGTGTGTGTGCTTAGCACAACGCTTGGCACATACCAAATGCTCAGTAAAGATTAGCTTTTGAAAAACAGAAAGTATAATAAAAATGTATTCTTTGCTTTCTGCGGTGGAATTCATTTTTCAAATCTATTTTGCATTCACTAATGGAAATGAGAAAAGAAAAACACCTCTCTAGTCAATGGATTCTGAAACTGGTTTTGGTCACCAGGATAAATCACTGAACACATAGCACTCCTCTAAAAACAGGGATGTGGTTTGTGTTAATTTATCAGGAAACCAGCATTTTAAAGTAGTAGATTTTGGTGGGAAGGTGAGAAGAGACGGGTGTCGAGTGCTAGCTTATATGAGCGCTAACTATGAAATGACAGTGGAATAGTGTTTTGGTTATTCTGAATGTAGGATGTTTTGTAGGAATGCATATACTACCACTAATGAAAAAAATATAACTTTTAATGACAATATTTTATTGGTATATCTGAAGAAACAAAATAGTTCAAATTATTACTATGTGTCTATTTCCAAAGAGCATAATTATTTTACCTTTACATATGGTTGAAAATCCTTAAGGAATATCCTTTCCTGCTTTGTGTTTTAAAACAATATTGACCACTGAAGTACCTTGCCCACTCCTAGTTGAGTACTTCTATGCACTCCCAAATTAGTAATTTTGCGTGTGTTGATAGATCTTTGAAAATTGATATTGGCCTCTCTCCCGTCAGGGACCAAAGAATGGAACTGTTTGCCACCTTTCGTAAGCAATCCTTAGATGGTTTTTCTCCCTCATGGCTGGAGGGAGATAATAGTCTCACGTTAGGAAATTATTTAAGGGCAGACAATTGGCTCTTACAATATTAGAGAACTTATGTTCATTTTTCTTGGCTGCAGTACAATTTTCCCATTAACATAAAACTAGGAGATGATACAGATGCAAGATCAGAGTATGTGTGCTCCACAACCCCCTCCACCATTCCACCAAAATTTACTACTTTATAATTCCGGAATTCTGATGAATTAACACAGGCCACATCCTTGTCTTTGGAAGAATAAAAGCATTGAACGTGTAGTGAAAATATGGCTTATATCGTATTTATAGAATTCTAATTTTAACAGCCTTTACTAAGCTTATCCAAGAATCTCCCGGAGCTTCCTCTCTAAGTGTCCTTTGTGTTATGAGTTTGGACAGGGGGGCAGGGCCCTGACACACAGGGTGGGTCTCACCTCCTATTATGTAGTCAGTGCCTGTGGAATAAGTGCTCAATACAGAAATAAAAGGTATTTCCTATTTTTGTTTCATACCAATGTGACTGATCCTCCACAATCTATAAAATATATAATACATTTAAGGTATTAAAGTATTAAGAAAAAAGTGAGTTTCTGTAGGTACCTAAGATTTTTTTAATCCAAATTCACACTGAATGTAACAGCAAACATCCGATCTCCCCAAATATTTGCCTCAAAATAAAGTAAAATAATAAAGCATGTACTGTTTTTCAATTAGCTAATTTTTTCACTAAGTTCATTTTGCCGCCATACCTAGATTTTTCTGGGCCATGAGCCATTATATAATGATGAAATGATGAGTCTAGGATGTGATATCTTTTTTTTTTTTTTAATCTATTTTTTCCCAGACTGGAGTAAGAGAAGTAGTACTTATTGAGTACTTATCATGCAAGATCTTTACATACATTATTCCATTTAATACCTCCAACTCTATCATATAAATAGTGGTTAAAAGCTCAGCTGCTTAACCAAAAGATCTGCAGTTCGAATCCACCAGTCACTCTGTGGAAACCCTATGGGGCAGTTCTACTGTATCCTATAGGGTCGCCAAGAGTTGGAATCGACGGCAATGGGTTTGTTTTTTTTTATTCCAATTTTATGTATTAAAAGACTTCAGCTGAGAAAGATTAAGTAACTTGTTTAAGGCCACATAGATAGTAAGAGTGAAGTCTTGATGCACCTATTAGGATCACTCTGTTCATCTTCCTTTCAATCTCTATAAATCAGCACCACTCTGGATGAACTTTATTTCCATAGTGATGTAAATGTTCCCTTTTCTCTAGACATCGATTTATTCTTTGAAAAACAATTTCTGAGCATCTACATTATGCCTGGCTCTGGGCTGAATGCTGGAAATACAACAATGAATAGTACAAGTTTTCAGCTCAGGTGTAACTCTCAGCCCAGTGGGGTTTACAATGTGTGTTTATGATACATTTTGAATGTTGCTCTTCTCTACTAGTCATATTTGTTCAGTTATTCTAAAATTCACTGATTTACACATGCATAAACTTTTCATTTTGTTCCTATTACATGCTAGGTGCCTTCACGAAAACCCTGTGAAACAGGTACTAGGTTTCCACAAATCAGAATTTAGAAAACACTACTCACCCAGGCAAAAATGAATCATGCCATATATTACTCACTTTTTCAGTTTTTCATTGAATTAGTAATTAATGTGAAGAAATTAAATCATGTTTTTAAAGTATATTTCTAAAATTTTGACCTAGAAAAAGAAAGTACTTACAGATTTAGTATTCCCTTCAATAACTTCTTCTTCCAGTGGTTCAAGTTTGAGATCCTTTGTTCAGAAGAAGAAATGGGAGAAAATCCAGAAATTAGCTAATTAAAAGAAACACTACATATTTGAATGCTAGCTCTTTTATGGCTAGCTTTGAACCAAAAGAACCTCATTATTTAAAAAGAGATGAAATAATTCTGATTTTTTTCACTGTGCTCTTCCAGTAGAGATTCTTTGTACCCATTTATCAGTTGTAAGGAGCCATTTCAGATGTGTTCTATTTGTTTTGCATTTACTTCACTGATGCCATTAAAAGAGAGCAAAGTGGAGGGAAGACAGACTCATATTAAAACAGAGAGGGGAAGGAAATGGAGGTAAAAATAAAAATTAGAACAACTAGCCAGGCTGATGAACAACTTAACAGGCTGATTTCTTTTGCTGTGAGTATTGCCACAATTCTATATTTCCTAGGAGATTATGACAGACATTAGTGCTACTGCCATAATGCATTGCAAAAAGAAAATGATTTAGAGAGTAAATGGAAACTCCACTATCGATATTCACAAAATATGAAGGACTCTTAAACAGACCCTAGAAACTTCTTTGATGACCAACAGATAATTCAGATGTCCCCAGCGAAACCAAGTATGTAATCTCCAAGGACTCCATTCTGTGAATATAAATCCCAGCATTTCTGCTAAGTAAGGATTAGTCACAATAATTCCATCAAATAGATAAGAAATAAATTGAAAGTCAGAGAAATCCAGACTATCTGAAATAACTTCAAGCTGCTACTAACAGATCTATGTGGCTCTTTCTTGTCTTTTACATATCAACTCAAATATCACCTCCTTAGAGAACCTTGTTAAAGGACCTTCCCAGACCAACCACCTATCTATCCACACCCCTATCTCCACCATATTACTCTACTTTTTCTTCACAGCACTTTTTACTGTCTGAAATAATCTTGTTTCATGGACTTTTTTTTTTTTTGGCCTGTGTCCCCAGAAACCAACTGCTGTATTCCCACGGCCAGAATAGTACCTGGCACATAGTAGATACACAATAAATGTTAATTGAATAAACAAAAGGCTGAATGAATGCCCCATCTAAATAATAGCTTTTCTATAGAGGCAAAATGACACAATCATATAGATATAAATTGAAAATTAAAAGGTACTCCACAGATAAAAACTGTAACTGTACTAATCTCCTTGACTACTACTTCTCTGACATCAACTCAGGTACATTTTCAGTTCTACCTTCTCTGATCTAAGGTGAGAAACATATAAAACAAATTGTATGAGTGTGTGATGTCCTTAATTATATCCCTTGGAGTGAGGATGTCCTATGAGCTGATGACACACTGAGGGCTTGGTGAAGAACGAAGAGGTTTTTTATGTTGTTTTTGTTTTAAACATTAAGGTCTTTTCTGCAGAGTTCAAGGAAAACATGAGATGCAACCTCAGTACACACCTGGAAAAGAAGGAATGCCTGAAGATACTTGTAGAAATTGTGCGTGTACTTTCCCCCCATGTGAATGATACTGGGCTTTGGTTTACAGTGCAGTCAGTGTTTATCATACATAGTTAATGGAGAGAAAAGATAACATATGTTCCACCCCAGGTGCACTTCCTTTTAATGGGAAGATCAAACCCAGTGCTAACAGCTGCAGGAGACAAGGTAGTCAGCAGTGAGATGACGTGCACTTAGCCACTGTTTAGTAATTGGGTAGTTTTTCTCTAAAAACCCAATTCAGCACAGCATAGAATAAGTTGTACAAAGAAACTGAACTTGCACTGTTTTCCCATTCATTTAGACAGTTCATGCTGAGCCACACACAGCTGGAGCCTCATGCTGAAAACCATCACATTGTATTTTCAGCAAACCTGTTAGACACTGTCCTCAAAATGAAACACTTTCCTAGGAAGGGAGAGAGAAAAAAGTCTAGAAGAAAGAGACGTGACGATGTTTTATTTGATGTAAAGTTGGAAAAAAGGTTTCACCTAAGTTTGAGCCATTCTTTTAAAAATAACTATATAAATTTAAGACACCAAATAAAGATAGATTTGCCAAGAGCTTGAAAACCATTTTTAAAAGAGGTTGAATCCGAACTTATTTAACTAAATCCTTGTGTTTTAACGAAGTTTGGTTTTCAAATAGATTTGGATTTTGCGGCCTTCCAACACTGAAAAACTGATTTCCATAGACACAATTTTGCCTATGAATCTTTCTAGTCTCAGCTTACATATCAATTAATAAGGAAGGAGGAAAGCTGATTTTCAGTAAGCTCTTTGTTAAGTATTTGGCCCAGCATGTGGTTAACATAAACTTAACAAACAAAGACTCGATGGTAGGGGAACTAACTGAAACTCTTCAAGGTTGCTTCCTTCGGACTTGGCTCTTCTTTCTATAGAATCTCCTTTTCAGAGGCCGTACCCATTCTCGGGACTTGAGAGTTCATCTTCGTGAAGATGGCTCTTAAGACCTTAATTGGCTGGCCTGGCATCTCTCCTACGAAAATCTGACTGGATGTTTCTGCCTAAGGGTCCTATTGTACCTTGAAACTGAGACATTTAACACATCAGTTCATTTTCTCACCTCACCTCACAAATTATCTCTCACTTGTCTCTCCCTTTTTGGTCAGCAGTATATACTATATACAGCAGTATATATTATAATACACATTATACATATATTATATAGAGTGATATATATTATATATACAGAAAAGAGAGAGACAAGTGAGAGATAATTTGTGAGCTGCGGTGAGAAAATGAACTGGTGTTTTAGATGTCTCAGTTTCAAGATGTTCTCAGACACTCAGGCTCAAATCGTCTGACTCCTATGTGAGTTTCCCCGGTCCTTTGCCCACTATACCAATTCAGTGGTCCTGTTAAATTTCTCTTCAAATCTTTTCATTCATTCGTCCAGGCCCATCTTTTGCCTTCCCTGATTCCATTGGGTTCAGGTCCATAAATCTGATCTTTTAATGCCATTTTCTGAACTAGCTCTGATTGAGATAGAACCCCCACAGTGCTGTATTCTTTACCTGGCTTCCTCCCCTACAGTGCTGTATTACAAAATCGTTTCCTTTGCTGGACTCCCCCACCTCAGCTTTGCATGCGAATCCTGATTTTGCTTGGAGATTATATGTAAACCTCATTGCGCCTGCGTAGTATAATTAAGACTGTTGCTGACGCAACTTGTATGAACTCTCTACTTGTAAACTCCTTTAAAAGTATCTTAACCTGCCTGCCCTTGGCGAGCAGTCTTGGTGGCAGCAGTTCTGACTGGCTCCATTTCCTTCTACGATGAGATTAAGGTGCCTTTCTTGCTTTCATTTATTGGCCAATACAAATCATGCTGAGTAAGAACCTGGGGTTTCCACCCAGTAAGACAGTGACTCTGAGCCTAATTTTTTCTTATATGAATCCATTTTGCATTTCTGCTACCCTATTTTCTATCTAAAGGATCCCTATGATTATGTCACTTACCTGTTGAAAAATAATAAATGCTTCCTGTTGTCTCTGAGGACAAGTCCAAATCCCTTAGTCTGTTATTTAAGGCCCTCCACAACCAGCCCCCATCTGTCTGTACAATCTTATTTGTCACTACTGTACTTCCCTAGGAAAACCTGGTGGCATAGTGGTTAAGTGCTACGGCTGCTAACCAAAAGACTGGCAATTCGAATCCATCAGGCGCTCCTTGGAAAGTCTATGGGGCAGTTCTACTCTGTCCTATAGGGTCACTATGAGTCGGAATCGACTTGACGGCAATGAGTTTTGTACTTCCCTAAATAAAAGCTTCTCACTAGGCTGGTCTACTTAACCTTTACTCCTGCCATCACCTTTGAAAGTCCTCTCCAGCTGTTCTTCCCAAACTTAAATTTTACTTTTCCATAGCACATATTTGTTTGTTCGTTAGCTGACCAGCATTTATTTCAATGTTAATAACATTAATTTTCCTTTCAAGGAATTATCTCTTTTCCTTTTGATACAGTCCTCTGGAATTATCAATCAAGGTATTTTCCCCTCCCCTAGCTGTGACCCTAGCTAAACTGAAGCAGACTTTCCCTCCTGGGAAGTAGCATTTTGAGCAGAATGCCAATAGACCGGAAATGGTTAGAACTCCTTTATTCCAGTGGAGGCAACCTGAGAGACCATCAAATATTTCTTGCCATCTAGATCTCTTCCCATTTCTTAATCCAGTTCTCCAGCCTGTTTGCTGGTACTGTAAACACTCCCATATTCTTCCAGAGAGTGTCTCTTTTCTTCATTAAAGAGATGATTTCTGTTGCTTACACTCAAAATTCCTAATTGAGTCATCATTTTTAAGGCTCAGCTTATGCCTTTCCTGCCACGTGAGGCCCTTACTGAGCACTCTTGCTCACAATGATCATTCCCTCAAGTGAACATCCATAGATTTTAGCATCTGCTCCACTCCTTCGGCATGTCTCAGTCAGTTAGCAAGGATTTGCTGGGCATTAAGAACAAACCGGGTTCTACAAGACCACATTAAAAAAAATCTGTTAACTTTTTTAAAAAAAGAAACATAGTTTATCTATACAAATACACGTAAGTTCTACAAAGTCAGTGATGCTGTCTCAAACATAAATATGTTTTCCTTGGTGCCTGGGCATGCAGAGAAAATGTATTTTTTATTGATTGGCAAAGGCTGCCCCAATATCAAAGCTGTACAGGGGGAATATCACTATAATATCTGGACTATTTGCTAGTAATTGATTTACTCAATAAAAATACATAGAAAATAACTAGAAACATAAAATAGAGTTTTGAAGAACTCTTCTTCACATCCCAACTTGCTCACTCACTGAGTAGCTTCAATAGCAAAAATCATCAGTTAATATGTCGATTTCTAAAAGTTGAGTATGCAATCTCATATTTTAGAATATCACACAGCCATTTCCCAGAATTGATTTGAAATATTTCCAAAACTTCAACCAGGTCATCCCCAAGAGCTGTCATTAGCATTATTCAAGCACACTGCCACCTAGGCCACTCACAGCCTGAGTCAGGCAGCACAGTAGATGTGTTTAACTTTCGATCTTACATCTTATTTTAAATATAACTGAGAGTAGAGGGGGAACTAACATGAGCTTCTACATTTGCTTTAATAAACAAAATCACATAACTGCCAAGCAGCCATTTGTGGGATAGCTGGGATCCTGTCTGTATTGTGTCCATGGGACAGTCATGGATATTGGGGCAATGAGGAATATAGGGCCAGAAACTCTTGGAAAATCAGAGAGAAAAAGAAAAGGAAGCACCCACCTTCTTCTCCAGTCTATCAATTAATTTCTGGAGTCTGTTTATCTGGGTCATCCACTGGTTGTCTTCTTCTAATAAACCTTGTGGGAGAGAAAATTATGAAGGTAATATGTTAACTCTAGATAGAGCAGACATGCCGGGATATCTCATAGCTTTCCTCTTACCCTGAAGGAAGAGTGCAGGGTCACAGTCTAGTCAACACACTTTTTAAATGTATTCACAAGAATACTTTCTAAGTACTGATTTCCATAGACCCAACCCAGCGGGCTCATTTTCACAAGCTTGTGTTTTATGCTGTTGCCTGTACTGGCCTTTGATATTCAAAACAACAGATCCTGCTGAGCCATTTTCACCACCCCCTGAGGTGGTTGATTTTTCTCTTGAAAGAGGAGAACAGCAATTAATAATGCTAGACTTACTTCCTGGGCAATGGCAGGAGCCAGTGAAATCACAGCCCTGATCAGAGCAAGGTATAATGTGTTACAATCACAAGGAGGCATACGGGGAAGATAGCTGGTGTCTCCCTTCTTAGGGCTAACCTGAGCATACATGTACATTATGGTTATGGCACAGTAGTTAAGAGAGCAGACTCTAGAGCCTGCTGATCTTGGTCAAAGTACTAGACTTCTCTGGCCTGTTTTCTTATTTGTAAAACGGGAATTATAATAGCATCAGCTTCATAGAGTCATGGTGAGGATTCAATGAGTGACGCTTAAATATATATTTTATATACAAATATACATAAATATATATATCTCAGAGCTCTCCTCTTACCCTGAAAAAAGAGTGGAGGGTCATTGTCTAGTCAACACATTTTTTAAATGTATTCACACGAATACTTTCTAAGTACTGGTTTCCATAGACCCATCCCAGCAGGTTCATTTTCACAAGCCTATGTTTTATGCTGTTGCCTGTACTGGCTTTTGATATTCAAAAGAACAGATCCTGTTGAACCATTTTTACCACTCCTTGAGGGTGGTACATATATATAAAGGAGCTCTGGTGATGCAATGGTTAATCGCTAGACTACTAACTGAAAGGCTAGAACCCACCCAGCTGCTCCGAGGGAGAAAAGACCCGGAGATCTGCTTCTGTGAAGATTACAGCCTAGGAAGCCTTATGGGGCAGTTCTACTCTGTCCTATAGGGCCATTATGAACTGGAATCAACTCGATGGCACATAACAACAACATATATTTATATATACATATAAAACAAACATATAAATTAAATGAGAATATAAATATAAGCAAAACATAAATATAAATATTTAGACACACAGCTGTGCCTACCACCATATTAAACACTATATAGATTCTGCTGCTATTACTGTCGGTATTATTAATATTATGAGGCAAAGGTGCAGACAGAAGAGTTGTAGGCTGAGCCCCTGCACAAACATTCTGGCATCCTTGTGAATCCTTACTTCAGCTTACCCAAAATGCTTTCACAGGCATTTGCTGAAATAATATGATTTAATATTTCTAGATATGCCAATGTGATTAAATTCAAGATTACAAAGCCTTGCTTTATCTTTCAATGCAACGAAGGCAAAACTTAAATCAAATGAGTAGTGCTTTACATCAGAATTCACTTCTCCACCTGCCTTTTTAGGGCAAGTACCTCTCAAAACCCACCAAATGAATTATGATGCAAACAGCCACAAAGAAGTGACTGCAGAAAAGGAGAAGAGAGCTGCTTGAGGAAAATATTATAAATGTACAGGTAGTCTCCGACTTACAACGTATTTGAGTTATGACAAACCACACTTATGACCATCTGTTTTTGTTTTTTTTTTATATCTTATTATCAGTAATATAGGCAACCCTGGTGGTGTAGTGGTTAAGAGTGGCTGCTAACCGAAAGGTCGGCAGTTCGAATCCACCAGGCACTCCTTGGAAACCCTATGGGGCAGTTCTACTCTGTCTTATAGGGCCGCTACGAGTTGGGATTAACTCGATGGCAGTGGGTTTGGGTTTATTAGTAATATGTACTACATACAATGCTGCAGCACGTAATTTGCTGAAATTTGTATGTAATGTTTCCAACTCCAAAAGACAAATAAAGATCAGATGTATAAAGATGCCAATAATAAAAAGGCAATAATAATGAAAACTAAAAAAAAAAAGAGCTATTCAACTTATATCAGAACGAACTTATGACAGAGTCGTTGGAACAGAAGCCTGTCGTAAGTGGGACTACCTGTATAAACAAATTTATGTGCATTTTTAAATTCACAAATTAGGTAACATATTTTCATTCTGGATTGTTCCTTAAAGGATTTAAGGTGGCTATCACATCAAAGGAGCCCTGGCGGTGCAGTGGTTAAGAGTCACAGCTGTTAACTAAAAAAGATCGGCAGTTCAAATCCACCAGCCGCTCCTGGGAAACTCTTTGGAGCAGTTCTACTCTGTCCTATAGGGTCACTATGAGTCAGAATTGACTTGCTGGCAATGGGGTTTTTTAGGTTTTTGTCACATCAAAGGCCTTTGGAAGGATATTTTTGGATTGAATATTGTTTCCAACTGATTAGAGTGGAAAGAACACTCTAGCTTTTGATTCAGGAGCCTAGCATTGTCATTTTCTAGTCACATGTGGTGGACTGTATTATTGTTCCCAATTCTTCACTTTCCTCCGGTTATAGAATCTTATGTACATGCTCCTTCCCCTGTGACTTTGCAGTACCCCCTACTACAGAGGGTGGAGTACATTTCCCCTATCCATTGTTACTGGGTTTGACCATGTGACTCATTTGGCCATTAGAAAGTTAGCAGAGGAGATGCACACAGTGGATTTAAATGTGCTTGTATGATCTGGTTTGTGCTTCTGACACCCGCTAGGAGGAGAAAATGTTTTTGTGGTCAGTGATCCCAGAAGGATGATATGCGGAAGTAGATCTGAACTCAACCAACAGCCTGACCCAAGTCCAGCTGAGATCACTCAATCACAATCAACCATAGACCCGAGAGAGAGACAGAGAGAGAGAGAGAGAAAAGTTTGCAGTCGTAAGACTCTGAGATCTGAGGTTATGTGTTTCACAATAAAAATGGACTAACACTGTGGACAAATCACTGTTCTGGTCTTCAGTGGGACACTAAAAAATAAATAAAAAAAATTTTTGAAATGGCGTATCTTTGGCTATGTGTATTTTCATAAAAAAAAAAAAAAAAAATTGATTGCCATCCAGTCGATTGTGACTCATAGTGACCCTACAGGGCAGAGCAGAACTGCCCCATAGGGTTTCCAAGGAGCGGCCAGTAGATTGGAACTGCTGACCTTTTGGTTAGTAGCTGTAGCTCTTAACCAGTATGCCACCATTTCATCAGCTGTTGGGATAAAATAAGACAGTGTTCAAGAAAGGACTCTGAAATCTTTCCAGTACAGTCTATGTAAATATAGGATATAGTTAGTACTTTGATATTCTTAAATGTTGCATATTTAAAGATTCATTTGTGCTAAAACGACATGCTCAAGTGATATATCTATACATGCATGTACATATATATGTATGCTTTATAAAAACGACTGATATTTAGCAAAATGAGTTTGCAAATTTCAAATTGATTTTAAAGTATTATAAGTGATATGGTTAAAAATTTGATATCCTAAGAATTATTAGTAAAGGTTAAGTTCAATATGTCTTATGCTACATTAACCCAAAACCCAAACCTGTGGCCATCAAGTTGATTCCAACTCATAGTGACCCTATAGGACAGAATACAACTGCCCCGTAGGTTTTCCACTATGGGTTGGAATCGACTTGATGACAACGGGTTTGGTTTTCGTTTTTTTTAATCTTTACGGAAGCAGACTGCCACATCTTTCTCCCTTGAGGCTGAATGGGTTTGAATCACCAACCTCTCGATTAGCAGCCCAGCACTTTACCCACTATGCCAAAAGGGCTCCTCTGTGTTACATTACATACTTGAAAAACATCAGCTATGACTTTAATCCTATCATGAAAAGAAACAAGGATTCTTTCGCTAAATAGAATTGAAGGTATGGTTAGGTAGGCTTGGGGATCTAGAGCTTTCCTAAGAATGGGATTTCTATACGGCCTGTCTTCCATGTATTTGCTAACGGAGACACTCTTCCTCTTCACCTTGCACAACTGCAAGGGTTCTGACAGAACTGACGCTTAGGATTATCACCCCAGTGCGTAATACCTTACCCTGTTTACGGCTTCAGTTTCAGGCCAATTTACTTGGTAAAAGGAAAACATTCCATTACTATTGTTGTTTTAGATGCTGTTCTTTTTTTTTAAATAAGTCATGTGAAAATACAAATTACCTGGACCGCTGACATTAAACTGAGGGCTATTGGGGGAGAAGCTGTTGTGTCTCTGGACTCGGCGGCTTGCTCGTTTTCCAGGCCATTGAATAGACAGGACTTCCGGCGTGGTTGGCCCTTGCCTTGAACAACAGAGATAACATTTAACCTCAACGTCAGGGCTTCAGTCTATTGCCTTAAGGAACAGCTCTTCAAGCGTCAGTCTCAAATATTTTCTAGTGCAGTGAAATGAAAACTATGGGAGTTACTGCTTGCAAACATGCCCTAGAGACCTAAGGGAATTGGGAACTATATGAATACAAGGAAGAGAAGCGTGGGCTTTCTTTTTTCTTAAAATTACCAAGTCAAAGTAAAAAGTATATCTTAGCCTGTAATTTAAGGAAAACATCTTTCTTTTGTTGGAAACTATCAATGGAAAAAACATTTACGTGGATGCTGCTATTTTGTTTAGTTTGAGAACAACTATGGAGTTCTCTTTTTTTATTCAATTTTTAATTAAATTTGAAAACTCAAAGCTATAGATTCATGTATTTTTAAAATTCTATAAATAATATTTCTATAAAGCTTATTTCAACAAACAAGGGGTCCCTCCCCTTCACCTCTATATCATGCCTCCTTCCCATCCCCCTTTCACATAGGGAATACTTTTTTTTTTTAATAACATTTTGTTGTGTTTTCGGTGAAAGTTTACACAGCATATTAGGTCCCCATTTAACAATTCCTACACAAATTGTTCAGTGACATTGGTTACATTTTTCACAATGTGTCAATATTCTCATTATTTTCATTCTGGCTGTTCTATTTCCAGTAATCCAGTGTCCCTGTCCCCTTACCCTTCCATCTTTGCTTTAAAGTAATTGACTGTTTGGTCTCATATAGATGGTTTTTTAAAGAAGCACAGTACTCATGGGTGATATTCTTTATTTTATGAGCCAATCTGTTATTTAGCTAAAAGGTGACCTCAGGGGATAGTTTTGGTTCAAGGTTTAAAGGGTATCTCAGTGCAATACTCCAGTCTCAACTGGTCCAGTAAGTCTGGACTTTTTAAGAATTTGCATACAGAGCACACTTTTTAACAGGTATTTATTTTGGTGTTTAGTTTATATTTGTGTATAACAAGCTGAAATTGCTATTTCTTTATTTTTCAATTTTATGCCTTATCTATTAACTTCTCAATAGGGAAAGCTCAGGCCAATGATTTAAGTGTAAGTATTGTAAACAATGCCCAGGAAGGCTGTTTAAAATGACCTGATTCAGCTGGGAGACATGTGTTTTGTCTTTCTCTATTTTTTTCTTGGTTGGAAAGCGAACCTGAATAGCTGGAATTTCAATAACCATCTTGGACTATAAAGCAACCTTGAGAATAGAAACATGCACTTAAGATATGAAGAAGACAAAAGGTCCATGATAAATTTGTACAGCTGCCATACTTGCCTTAGACTGCCGACCATTAGACTTCTTTAGTAGGAGGTAATAAACCCTTATGTGTTTAATCCATTGTTACTTGTTTTTTTTTATATGCAGCTGAATCTAGTATTAATTTACTTATGTAAAAATCTTCCTTTATTATCAGCATTCTCTCCTGTGTTGGAGCCCTTTTTTTATTATTATTATTATTGGATTCCATTTTTCTCTTACCTTATTCTTCTGTTTTGGTGGAAAACCAAGCCAGTTGCCGTTGAGTCGACTCTGACTCATGGTTCCCCATGTATTGCAGAGGAGAACTGTGCTCCACAGAGTTTTCAATGGCTGTGATCTTTTGGAAGCAGATCACCAGGTCTTTCTCCCAATATGCCTCTGGGTGGAATCGAACCTCCAACCTTTTGATAAGCAGCTGAGCGCTTAACCATTTGTGCCACCCAGGGACTAATTGCTTCATAAGAAATGGTGCACCATAAGAAGTTTAAAATTCTTGAGATATCTAAGAGGTATCAACACATCTTTATTTTATCCTGCTACCTCACTGATGGTTTTGTAAAAAATTCTGGGTTGCAAATCATTTTCTCTCAGAATTTTGAAGGAATTGCTCCATTGAGTTCTAGCTTTCAGTGTCGCTATTGAAAAATTCCAGTGCTTTTTGTTGATCCTTTGCATATGACCTGGTTCTTCTCACTGGGAGATTATAGGTACTTCTCTTTGTCACCAGTATTTTTGAATTTTGTACTGGCACGCCTTGATGTTGGACTTTTATTATTCATTGTAATGGGCTCTTGGTCTGGCCTATAAGTCTGGAAATTTATGTCCTTCAATTTTCTTGAATTCTTCCTTTTATAATTATTTCCTTTGTTCTCTTTCCAGAACTGTTTTTCAATTATTGAACTCCTGGAACTGATCCTCTAGTTTTCTTAGTTTTTCTTCCCTATTTTTCATCTTCATCTCTTTGTGGCAATTTCATTATGCTTTTACGCCAAACCTTCATCAGAAGTTTTCATTTCTGCAATCATACTTGTAATTTCTAAGTGCTTTTGTGCGCTTTGAATTTTTTTTAAATAGCACCCTGTGCTTGATTCATAAATGCAATATCTTTTCTTAGCTTTCTGAACTTACTAATGATTTTCTTTTGAAAATCTTCTTCTACTCTGTGGATCATTTATTCCTTGTATTTATTTTGTTCTGTTTGATTTGTTCTGACTCTCATGTTAAAGGTTTTTCTCAAATACCTGGTGATCTTTGTTTGCCCCTCATATTTCAGAGGTAGGAAGTACAAGGCTGATTTGAACCTCTTGTGTATGGTGGGGATTGCCAACTCACAGCCTCCATTGTAGAGTGGTAGAGCTGGGCCTGTTCATTGGGGGACCTCAACTATTTCTATCTTTAAGTCTTTTCTCTTGGCCTTATGAGATCCCTCAAAGAAGCATTGCCCAACAGTATGGTACAAGGCTGGCTGCCAGTGCTCTGGAAGCAGTGTTGCAAAACCAAAACCCGTTGCTCTTGAGTCGATTCCAACTCATGAGACCCTATAGGACAGAGTAGAGCTGGCCTATAGGGTTTCTGAGGCTGTGATCTTCAAAAAAGCAGACTGCCACATCTTTCTCCTGTGGAATGGCTGGTGGGTTCGAACTACTCACCTTCCAGTTAGCAGCTGAGCACTTAACTGCTGTGTCATCAGGGCTCTTTCGAGTGTTGCAAAGGTTGTATCAAATCTCACTGTTCCATATGTGACCTTCTTTTAACTTCTCCTTTTTCAGTATGGCACCCTAACCTCAGTTATGCCAGGTATACCTCAGCCATAGCAGCTCTATTCATTTTCTCCAGAGAGTACACTGTAGACCTCCTCAAGTATTGAGAAGGGGCAGTGTGATGGTTAAGATTGTGTGTCAACTTGGCTGGGCCATGATTCTCGGTGTTTTAATGTAATCACTGCCATGATTGAATATACTGTGAGTAGCCAATCAGATGAAAGGGAGTCTCCTTGGGGGTGTGGCCCGCATCTGAATATAAGCAGACCTTCTGGCTTTTTGCTCTCTCTGGATCCTGCGGCTCCTTCTTGTTGTCTCATCTCCCATTCTTGGGACTTGAGCTGTCAGCTTATCTTCTAAACCTGGGATTCATCGATCTGCACAGCTGATGAGCGGGAGCCCTGCTCTCCGACCTGCTGATCTTGGGCTTGCCAGCTTCTGCAGCTGTGTGACTTGGAAGAGGCCTCTACCCTGATCCATGGACTTGGGATGTTCTAGCCTCTAAAATCACGTAGCTGTTTCCTTGATATAATCTCTCTCTCTGTATATATATTTATACACTTTACTGGTTTTGCTTCTTTAGAGAACCCAGCGTAAGACAAGCAGTTAAGGTGCTGCATTGGGTGGGGCAGGGGCTCCGGGGACTAACAGCTTCCTAAAAATCTTTCAATTATCTTCATTCCCACTAACAGTTACATATTGTACAGGCAACTCTTGAGCCTTTCTGAGATTTGTATGATACCAATTAGATTGTGTCTTGGCTTCCTATACTGCATGCTTCAAATTTTAGTTTTCTTAGATCTTCTAAATCAGTTACCACTAGATCCACCTTCTTTCCAGGTTCCAAGTTTTTGTTCCTGTTGGGTCTTTCTCCATCCTTCTTACCTTTGTGGGTTTGTGCTTCCATTTACTTGGTCGCTTGTATTGCCAATTTTGAAGCGTTTAGGGAGGGAGCAGAAGAAATCACATATGTTTAATCTTCAATCTTTAACTAGACCTCCCTATGGATTTTCTTATAATATCAAAAAGTTAGCTTTACCATTACTGAACATTTTGAACAAAGATTCTATAGAAGAATCTTGATCAAAAAGGGGAAAATGCAGAACAGAATTTCCAATTCTCACTGACTCCAGACTTTCTGGAGCCATGGAGGCTGGATGAACCCCTAAAACTACTGCCCTGAAATAATCTTTAAACCTTAAACCAAAAATATCCCCTCAAGTCTTCTTAAACCCAAATAATAGTGTAGCTTAACTAGTAAAAAATGTCTGCCTTGAGCATTGTGCTTTTTTACAAACTATCTATATAGGATCAAAGTGACAACAGCAACTTGAAAGATTAGATAGGAACCTTAGGGGGCAGTAAGTTTATTTTCATGGGGGAGGAATAACTCAGAAAAGGAGGGTGAGAATGGTTGCACAACTCCAAGAATGTAATCAATGTAACTGAATTGTACATGTAAAACAGTTGACTTGGTGATTTTTGCTGTGTATATTCTCACCAATAACAACAAAATACATTTAAAAAAAATTAAATTTACAGCAGCTTTGGTTGTCACAGATCTAGGTGATTAAAGCTGTCCTTCTCTATGTTTAAGCTGTCTGAACTTTTATAATCACTTGCAGGCAAAATTAAAGCTTTTCCTTACTTTTATAATGAACAATTTTGAAAAGGAGAAAATAAGTTTTAAGCCCAGGAGAAATCAGTCATATCCCTGAATATAGAAGAATGCTCCAAAAATACAACAAATTTGAAGACTCCATTATAAATATGAAATCCATGTATAATTCAACTACATTCCCCAAAATCTGGTTTGTGAGGAAGAGAGGTTTATGTAAGAGGACATGAGTCTTTGAGAGGGAATCTTTAGTCTAAAGCAATGATTATTCTTCTCATTGGCTATTAGATACTTTCATTAGACATGGAATTAAAGTGGCTTCCATTCAGCCAGTTTGCCAGCGCAGATACCAGGAGTGTTGTCGGATGCCACCTGAAAATCTCACCTCTGTGTCACTCCAGTTGTATGCATCCCTTCTCTCTGAAATTGCCATTTTCACATGAATAGACACAGAAATTTTGCCCAACGTGGCATGTCTAGTTCATTACTACAGGATGAATGACACTGTGTGATTCTACCCTCGGGTTGATAAATGGAAAAGATAACTTCTCAAATTTCATTACATTCTGAGGAACTTCTGTATCCCTAGGTTTCACAAATATTAAACCCCAGAGTAATGTTGATGCTGAAGGAGAAGCAAATTATTACAACCCTGGGAATTTTAATGCTATCTGTGTGTTGTAAATCTTGACTATGTAGAGCATCACGAAATCTTTCTTTATGATATAAAAAATCTGATAAAATTTTTAGATACACCGATTTGAACTTTTCTTGCTGAGCCTATTCTCCTCTTCTCTAAATCTGTACTGTATACCTTTTTGTTTGACTAATTTTCCTTAAACTTTGTTTGCTTTATATTGCTCCCCTATTTGCAACCACCAACGACAAACTTCAACAGGAGTAAGTCTAAAACCATCTGTGCAGATTTTAAGAACTTTCCCAATTCCAGATGTTAGTTAGGTTGGTCTCCTCATTGTCCCATGTTCTCACCCCTTGCTCCTGGAATTCTCTTTCATTCATTCAATCTCATATTTTTAATATGCAGTTGTGCCACATAGAAGGGAAAAAAGCAAAGTTCCTGCCATCAAGAATTCAAAGTCTAATGGAGGTTATAAAAAGGGGCTGAGATTGTAAATAGATATTAAGTAGCGGGTACTATAGGAGTTGGAGTCTCTAGGGAGTTCAAATGGTTAATATGCTCAGCTGACAACCAAAAGGTTAGAAATTCCCAGAGGTGCTTCAGAAGAAAGGCATCATGATCTACTTCTGAAAAATCAGCCATTGACAACTTTATGGAACACAGTTTTACTCTGACACACATGGAGTTGAAGGTGACTTGATGGCAACTGGTTTACTAGAGAAGTATGTAGTGGTGGGGTCAGAGATATCTAATCCTATTTTGAGAGCAGGGAAAGCTTCCCAGAGAAAGTAATGTCCAAACAGTGACCAAATGAACTAAAAGGGGTTAGCCAGATGAGAAGGCCTGAGTATACAGGATGAGCGAGGATATACATCTGAAAGGATATTCTCTCCTTTCAGAGAATATCCGTCTGCCATACAAATCCATTCTAAAGGTCCAGTTCAAGTCTTGTCTTCCATGAGGCTTCTTCACTGATATCGTTTGATATCATGGGAAAGGGACTGTAGTTACGTTTAGAAGATTTGGTTTTACAGAATGCCTTTTTCTGAGTGGCTGAGTGAACCAGGGCAAGTACTAAATTTAACTTTCCTGTTGCTTCTGTAAAATGGGGATACAATCTCTGTTGTTTAATTCAGTGGGATATTTTAAGCAAATGAGATCTTTAACAATTTGTATTGACTTACAGTAATCACACTGTATATGCACTTACATATACACATATCAGAATTGCACAGCTCAATGAATGTTTATAAACTACACACACCAATGCAGCCAACACCCAGATCAAGAAACAGAATACCCTAGATGCTCCCCTCATGCTGCCTTTTAGTCATTATTCACTGAGGATCATCTCTATCCTGCTTAGAACAGCATAGATTAGTTTTGCCTATTTTTGTACTTTATAATAAATGGATACAAACAATATGTATTATTATGTGTCTGGCTTCTTTTATTCAATATGTTTTTGGGGCGTGAGATCCATTCATTTTGTTGTGTGCAATTGTAGATGCCTTATTGTTACTGCTGAATAGTACTCCAATGCCTGAATATATTACAACATATTTACCCATTTTTTGGTTGACAGGAATTTGGGTAGTTTTTAGGTTTTGGCTGTTATGAATAGTGCTGCTATGAGCCACAAGCCAAGGAATGCCTAGGACCACCAGAAGCTAGAAGAGGCAAGGAGGGATCTTCCGCTAGAGGCTGCAAAGAGAACATGCCTCCCCCTGCCTCCACTCAATACCCTGAATTAAGACACCCAGCTTCCAGAACTGTGAGAGAATAAATTCCTGTTGTTTTAAGTCACCCAGTTTGAGGTAATTTGTTATGATAGCTCTAGGAAACTAATACACTCTAAGTTCTCCTTTCTCTCTCCATTTGGGCAAAGGAATGGCTGACCCAGGGCCTGAGCAAGGGTAAGGCTGGTGAAAGAAGTTCAGCCATCTTTCTTCTCTCTGACTTTTCTCCACTGGTGAGGGGCCTGGGGCTCTCCTGACTTGGGTGCTGGTATTCCTTCAGAGAGGAGATGCAGCCTCTTTAGGTTTGGGCCTAAGTCACATGTCTCAGTCTGCTTTCTAGAGACTCCACACTGGACATTAAGGGCATAAACCCATAGTAATGCCTTATTTTCTATTTGCTTATCTGTGTATTTGCTTCAGAAAGTTTTAGGGAATTGTATCAGTGATTTGGGGCAGTACTGGGGCCTCCTTGGGTGCTTTCATCAAATACTACTATACAATAGCATTCCCCAAACTGACCTCAGACATGTAATGTTTCCCATTTTTCCAAACTATTTTTGAACTAGAAGCCTGAGAAAAGAAGATTCATCAATCCTATAGTGCCTCCCACTTTTCTTAAACTCTGTATTATCATGCTTCTTCCCATTAAACACAGGAGCTGCAGCTGTTGACAGCAATAATCACAAGAGGTTAAGGCCAGCTCGTGACCTAACCAAAGAAGAACTGTTTTTCATTAAAAATTCACTATGTAGTGGTAAATGAAGAACACGAGTTTGCAGGAGGTGACTATAGAAAGAAACAAAAGCACAGGTGAAGAAGCTGCCTCTTATGTGGCAAATGACTGATTCTAAAAAGGGAGAATCCATTTTAGTTCCAGAAAATCTAATGAAAAGAAACAACAAAATAGGCCTTATTTTCTCATTAGGAACATGAAATCAATTTCATTGTGCTTCAAGACATTCTACTTTTCTCTGCTCAAAGTTGAGGAGCTGGGTTGTTATTTTTCTAAAGATAATTGTTACGCTTTTCCATTCGATATGGAATCACACAATGCAGTGGTAATAGGAAGTTTATAACGTGAAGGATGATGCACAAATCCATCGAAGAACGCACCCCTGTGTGCATCAGCTGCACCAGCTCATTAGCTCTGGAATCACAGGCTTTTTTTGTTAGAGTTTGGTGGTGCTCATTCATTTTGACATTGTAAACACATGGTTGAAAGTTCCACTATTTCCTTGAGATGTCCTTATAATAATGTATCCATATGTTTGTTTAGAAAAATTGGCTTACAAAGTAGTCTATTATCAGCCTATTCAGAGAACTTACTGTGTGGTTCTCCTTAATTTCATACGGAAAAGATAATAAGTCATATCTAGAGGTTTAAAAGAATGCATCAGCCAGCAAAAACTGGTAGCACAAGCAAGAGTTTTGCCAAGCTCTTCTCTAGTTGGCAAAGTATAAACAATGATAACTCAAGAAAGTGTCAATTGTTGGTTGGAATTATTTTGATGTTTCCTTCACACGTTTCTAATTTAGGTTTCCTTCTGGCATTAGTGGCTTTAGTTATATAGCTATTATAATATTATTACTTATTTCTCAAGGATACTAACTGAATTTTTAACTCTTTCCCCATCATTCATTTTTATTATCTTACATAATTAGGCTTACTGAATTCTCAAGTCTCCTCAATATATTCAGATTCACTTAGCTTGTAAGGCTCTTTCCCATCATTTCCACATTTTCAAAGTATACCCATTCGCAAGATGAGCTCAAATGTTATAGGGAAACTCTATGAAACTGTCATTCATCTCTCTATCCATATTTAATCTTTTACTCTTCGGAAATCTCGTGGTAATTTATTTCCCTTTTTCTGTGGTATTTATCACTTTTCACCTTGCATTATAGTTTTAGTGTTCACGTCTTATTCATATAATAGACTTTAGCCTCTTTAACAATAGGGGTTATGTAAAATATATTCATACCATCCCCTGTGTATTTTAAAGTCTTTTCCATTGACTAAGTTCTCAATTAAAATGTGTTGAATGAATGATGGATAGTAAAAGAAAAAGGGGAATGGTCTTTTCAGAGGCAAATATAATTTCCAGCACCAGTGCAGGTCCCTGCCACTCTTTTGAGATCTATTAATTCTCATTTTTAGTTTTCACTAGTTTAAGTACCATGCAAATCAACTGTCTTTTCATACACACAGAGTCACTAAAGAGATGTCATATGAAAACATGTAACTTGCCTTTCTTGACGGCTTTGCTCCTCAGTAGTTTCCATAGCACATTCAAGGGAATTTTGGAGAGACTGCAGCTGATTCAAGGTCTCCTTCAATAAAAATCGAGTCACAAATTGTTCTAAATTAGAGGCCTCTTGGTAGTCCTAAGGGTGACAAAATAAAGCAATTAGAAATAGGGCATGGAAAAATAATGAGGGATGGTATTTCCCATGTGCTTGTCATTCTCAGGTTGATCCTAGAGAGAGAGAGACAAGACGAACAAAGAGATAAGTACCCTACCAGATTGGAGCCCTGGAGATCACAGCATTGCTGTATCCACCAACCTAAAGAAGTTGAGTGAAAGCTCTGCAGAAAAGACTGGAATACCTTACCTCAAGATTTGAAAAAAGGACAAAACCCAGCAGAATTATTGAATAGACATCTGTATGAAAGGAAAAAAAAATCTGAAACAAAAAAGTGACTAACTCAGGGTTTGTAGAGTTTCATTTAAATGGATGACCATGCCATCATGTATTTTCTCCATTAACAACTAAATGCAGTCACGTTTCAGCAATTGGCTTAATTCCCTCTTGATGTGTTTATTATGCCTGATGTCTGCGTTATACTGAAGCCAAAGGAAATTATGTGTAGTTGTCTTAAATTACAGAAAATGTTAGGCCTGGAATATATAAACAGTTTACTAAATCTGCATATGTCCCTCCAACAGCTACTTTACCTGAAGCTCATTTGCGTTTAACTTATAGCACAACACCTCAAGCATGAAAGCACCATTCATTCAGACCTGTGTACACAGATAGCATTGCACACATCATAGATTGTACTTGTGAAGCTTAGTCTAGGTAGACTAGTGGGCTATGGATGGTACTACCTACTGCCCTTATCCTCTAATGTCTCAGGAAGAACCAAGAAAGAAAATCAGTTTGGCAGGAAATGAAATGTTGTCAACCTACTCTTTTAGGTCATGGGACCAGCCAGCTATATCCAATTTTCTAGAGTCTTGGGTAGGAACAGTAGATACAAGTTCATTCAAGGAAAGGATTTATTTGGCTCTGTCCCAAAACTTCTTTTTTCATTGTTGTACCAAACCGAGAGGAATGGCGGTGACGAGATAATACCATAGTCAAGATGCACTGGGGAATCTTAGAACGTGGCAGTAAACCCAAACAAAGTAGATTTAGTTATTTAACTGTTTACTTTGGTCTCAGCTTTCTCACTTACAAATCAAAGAAACTCTAGCATACACTGCAACTCAAAAATACTCTCTGCCTCTATTAAGTCTAAATCAGGAAATACTGGACTTGTGGTTGGAACACTGCCATCCAGCTTGCCAGGTCATGGTGGGCTCTGCAACAAAGGGAAATACAGCATTGTTCTCAACAGACTGTTTGTCCTCATTTCATTTTTTGGATCATTTGCTTGTCTTCTTCCCTTATTCTGGATCCCCAGGTTTGGGACTGCAGATCCAGGTGGCATAGATCCAATCTTCCTTCCCTTCTCTTAGATATGCAGCAGATGTTCCTTTGGAAGGCAGTAGCAAAAAAGGCAGATGGAAAATTAAATAGATAACAAGCTGGAAAATGTCAAAGCCTGGCCCTTTTTATTCTCAACAAATGTGTTAGTTCCGAAGGCACAAAAAGGGATTTTTGCATTCCTAACTCCCCGAGAGATTGATATGCTGGTTTAAGGCACGTGTTCTTTTCAACAAAATACAGTATTTTAGAGTCTGGCAGAAAGAACTTCTACTGATCTGCCAAAGGAGTGAAAAAAAAGAAAAGTACAGATGATACCTGATATCCAGATTCTGCCTTTTTTAAAATCAAACACAGTTTAATCCTTCATGTCTGTTAGATAGGATATGGACAAATGAAAGCTACTAGTATATTTCTCAGATCCCAATAATGTTCAGGTCATTGACAATTGTCAGTTAAATAAATAATTAAGTGGAAGTTGTTAATAAAATAGAATTAATATTTTTATTTTTGCCTTTGGAAAGCTGGAACATAAACATTTCAATTGTGTATTTCCTATTCGAGGAGCTGAAACAGGCTAGCATTCATTTAACAGTAAAATCCTAGCATTAGAAACAATGCTTTGAAATTCAGGTTTCTTAGGGGTTTGCCTATGCATCTTAATTGTCAGATCATTTCTCACTAAGCAAGCCCTTGCCCAGCTGTATGATGGAAGAGTGGAAATCTTAGCTATTAACCCACTGTGAATCATCTGAGTTAATTAGGAAAATCAGAACATCAGTCTGCCCTGTTTGTATTTGTCCTATCTGAAAATTAATCACATCAGTGGCATCCAGTCTCAATGTCTCCTTGCTTATGAGGCCAGATACAATCACATTTAGCAGGGGTACTGCTCTGTCTGCCTTTTGAGCTAAGCCCCTGCAGCTCTTCTCATTCTTGTGTGAAACATCTGCGCCAGCTTTCTATAACAGAAATCTCTCTTACAAAGATAAGGTTGCCTTTTTCTCTTTTTCCTCTCTCCCAAAAACTGTTAGCTATTTTACAGTAACTGGTTTATACTACATCATCTATGTCCAATTTCTTTTAAACATCCTTAGGCTTTTAAAAATCAAATTTTTTAAAATCAAATTTAAGTCTAAAAAAAAAAAGCACTGGTTCTTAATTAAGTCTTAAAAACGGAATGAGATTAATTCCAGAATGGTATTTGGAAATCTTAGATGGCAAAACAAGAAATTAAAACATTTCAAACTGTAGATTCCCAAGGGTTAGGGAATTACAGGTTTGCAAATTAGTGAAAGAGGTTACAGGGATCTAATTTTGGAATAAAATATTGCTAAACAATCAAAACATTGACACAATTTCTAAGCCCTATCTTAACTAGATATTCTGTCACTTAAAATCAGAAAATACTTTAGAGATGAGTTGTATTATTTAAGCTCTTTCCTTGGTAAACCCCATTTGTAAAGGGCTCATCCTGGAGTTGTCAAGTGCTTATTTTGTTCAGGTTTCTTTCCTCTTGCTCCTTCTATTTCCGTGTCTCCCCCTAGGCGACCCTAATAAGAACACACGGCCACTTGGGGTCTGCCTAAGGAACAATTCCATTATGCTGGGAAGTAAACCTCTTCATCCAAGTGGAATTTTAGGAACATGCACATGGATATGGGGACATTTACAGAGTCAGACTAAACCTGGAGATTAATAGCTAACTGATGAAGACCCAGGTCACATTCATATTTATATAACAACATAGTATGGTGGTTAAGAATCTGAGTCTGAAGACAGTCACATTTAAATTCTAATCCATTCTGGTGTCACTCAACAGTTGTGTGAATTTGGGAAAGTATTCAGCCTTTCTGAGTCTCTATTCCTTATCTGTGGATAAAATCTCATAAGCTTGTTTTGAGGTTTAAATAAAATATAGCATGTAAAGCACATTGTGTGGTATCTAGCTCATAGTTTTTGATAAATGTTCATTATTGTTAGTAATCCTTTGGAGGAAGGATATTAACAAAGTGCAATGGATAGATCATTGGCTCAAAATTCAAAGGACCTGAGTTTGAACGCTTAAGTAATAATTCATCTCAGAATTATCGCTTGGATAAAAGTGTGGTTGATATTTAGCATATAGTAGGATTAAAGAGGAAGTGGCAAATATTGGAGCTAGGCAAAGAATATCTAATATACAGATAACAGGAATTCCTGAGGATGAAAACCATAGCAAACGAATAAAACAAATACTGAAATCTATCATTCAAAAATGCTTTTCTGAAACAAAAAGATTTGAAATTATGTTTTGAAAGCACATCACGTATCTGAGAATATTAACTCAGAACAACAACATCAAGATACATTTCAGTAAAATTAATGGACTTTAAAAGACAAAGCAAAAATCCTTTTCTCATCTAGACATAAAGAGCAAATGATTTGTAAAGGCAAGAAAATTATGTTATCATAAGACTTTCCAAAAGCAACACTTTTATCCCAGAAGAAAATAAAGCAACATACTTAAGACATGCAAAAGGATTTTATATCACAAAAAACCAACTTTTAAGTATAAAGTACAAAAAAACCGTTATCAACATGCAAAAACTCAGGTAATATTATTTCCATAAGCTCTTCAGTCTATTAGAGAATGAACTTTTGACAATCAAAATGATTAGAGAGACTTTGACATAAAGGTTGATGATCTCTACCAGGTACTGGCAAACATTACTGTAGAGGCCCAGACAGTAAATATTTCAGACTTTGTGAGGCGAACAGTCACACATTCTGCCATTGTAGTATGAAAACAGCCATAGAAAATCCTTAAGCAAATGTGCCTGGCTGTGTTCATAGGCCATCTCAAACAGGTGGTTGGCAGAGTTTGGCCTATCGCTGGAGTTGTTCACCCCTGATGTAGGCATTGAGAATCAATGGCTGCCAACATCATAAAAAGAGAGTCAACCAGACATTATGGGCTTCCTGGTGAGAGCATACACCATCAGTACAGTCTTTCAAACAAACCTCTGGATTCAGTTTACAATTTGCAGTAAAAACAGAGTCCAGAAGAATATGCTGAACTGCACCATAAGTAGGAAATAGGCAAAGTCTAGACAGTGAGCAACTTTAGGTTCTGCAAGAGATAAATTGTAACAATAAGCAAATAAGAAAGATTGCAAAAGAACTTGTAAGGTAAGAGACATAAATGAGATATAAAAATGGGTATAACTAAACTATAGTCTCTAGAGTTACACATGTGGACGATAAAACCATAAAGAAATGCAAGGAGCTGACTAGTTGAGGCATCAGTTTAGTGCTTATTTTCCAGGGAGGGATAGGATTATGATGGAGACAGGGTACACAGAGGGGCTTCTGGAGGGACTGGTAGGTTTGGTTTCTTATTTGGGTGGTGGTTTCAAGAGTATTTGCCTTATAATATTTCATTTTATTTGGGTGGTATCTTAGTTTTCTAGTGCTGCTATAACAGAAATACCACAAGTAGATGGCTATAACAAATAGAAAGTTATTCTCTCACAGTCTCAGAGACTAGAATTTCGAATTCAGGGTGCAGCTCCAGGGGAAGGCTTTCCTGTCTCTGTCAGCTCTGGGGGAAGGTCCTTGTCATCAATCTTCCCTGGTCAAGGAGCTTCTCAGTGCAGGGATCCCAGGTCCAAAGGGCGCGCTATTCTCCTGGC